CCGTATTCGTTTTGCTGGCACAACGTCATCGGACCGGGGACGGAGCCCCCGGAACACGATGCGAGCCATTATGAGGCTGTGGTCACACGTTGCCAGAAAAATTCGAATAGAAAAAAATTGAAAACATGGATCTTCTTGAAAATTGACAGAAATGATCCTTAGACCATGCCTCTGGACGCCTCGTATTCGTTTTGGTGGCACAACGTCATCAATCGAGGGGCGGAGCCCCCGGAATCTATTCGAGCCGCTTTGGAGAAGCAGCCGATTCCGGTCAGATTAATGCGAATAGAAAAAAATTGAAAACATGGATCTTATTCTTGAAAATTGGCAGAGATGGTCCTCAGACGATACCTATGCACGCCCCGTATTCGTTTTGCTGGCGCAACGTCATCGGACCAGGGGCGGATCCCCCGGAAAACTGTGCGAGCCATTATGATGCTGTGGTTACACGTTGCCAGAAAAATTCGAATAGAAAAAAATTAAAAACATGGATCATCTTGAAAATTGGCAAAAATGTTCCTTAGACCATGGCTATGGACGCGCCATAATCGTTTTGGTGGCACAACGTCATCGAACGAGGTGCGGAGCCCCCGGAATACTATGCGAGCCGTTATGAGAATCAGCCGCTTCCGGTCAGAAAAATTCGAATAGAAAAAAATTGAAAACATGGATCTTCTTGAAAATTGGCAGAGATGATCCTCAGACCATGCCTGTGAACGCCCCCTATTCGTTTTGGTGGCACAACGTCATCGAACGAGGGGCGGAGCCCTCGGAATACTGTGCGCGGCATTTTGAAGATTCCGAAAATTGTGGTCAAATAAATCACATTTAAAAAAAAAATTGAAAACATGGATCGTCTTGAAAATTGGCAGAGATGATCCTCAGACCATGCCATGCCTATTGACGCCCCGTATTCGTTTTGGTGGCACAACGTCATCAATCGAGGGGCGGAGCCCCCGGAATCTATTCGAGCCGCTTTGGAGAAGCAGCCGCTTCCGGTCAGATTAATGCGAATAGAAAAAAATTGAAATCATGGATCTTCTTGAAAATTGACAGAGATGATCCTCAGACCATGCCTATGAACGCCCCGTATTCGTTTTGGTGGCACAACGTCATCGGACCAGGGGCGGAGCCCCCGGAACACCTTGCGAGCCTTTCTGAAGATGTGGTCACATGTTGCCCGAAAAATTCGAATAGAAAAAAATTGCAAACATGGATCATCTTGAAAATTGGCCTACTTAGGCTTGATTTTAAAAAGAGGGAACAATGCCCTTGTTCACGCTCTCCCCTCCCCTCCCCCTCCCCTCCCCATCCCTCCCCCGCC